TCCACACCGGTTATTCTTGCAATTCCTGCCATAACTGCCCCAGACACAGAGGTTGAAGCACCAAGGGCACCTGTCGCTGGGAAAAGACCCTTACCGTCCACCAGTAAAAGTGGCCACAGCACTGCGACACATAATACTACCCAGTTGCACCAGACGAAACAAAACGGTCTTAAGGGGGATGACAAATGTGCGAGGACTGAACCTAAACCCACGGTTAGTCGATCAAACTACGTTATCCTCTTTAATGTACCAGTAGCAGTAGTCTGCTGGAAAACAGGGACCTGTTTGATCGGGAACAGTGGTCCAACTTATGTAGCACACTGGGTCTGGACATCCAACCAGTAAAACTGTGCAGATTGTGTAGGGGCACTGCTGCTCCTCAAGGCAAACCATCCCCACTGAGGGTAACACTAGGCTCTACCGAAGATGCCGAAAAAGTTTTATTGACTTCCCAAGTCCTTTCTATAGGGAGGACCTGCAATATACGTGTTAGGCCAGATAGGCCATGGAAGGAAAGACAGATGGCGAGGGAGTCGCCGGAGCTTATTCCTTCTGCCTCAATGGTTGTTCACGGCATTCCCGAACTGGGGACTAGGAACGCTTGTGAGAAGCACTGTCACGATGTACAGCAATGGAGATGGTCGGCATCCCAGATGGGTCTGGGAAGTTCAGGGGCTGTCTCTATTTTTAGACTGCCTCGACCCACTCACCTAATGTCAATTAACACCCCACGTCTGTTAGCTGTTAAGTTCAGCTCCCGAGACCACTTGACTACTGCTCTCCAGAGATGGTACGAGACCAAGGACAAGGTCAGCAGACACATTCGCTGCTGCAAGAGCCGGGCCCGTACCCAAAGGAGAGAACAAAACGTTGTCATAGAACATCCCCAACCCCTAGTCACAATACAGCGGTGCAGCACGGACGATGATAGCCAGTGTCATCCAAGTGCTCTAATTGAATCAGAAGAAAAAACGCCAACAGGCCGGTTCCCGGGGAATCAGCCAACTAGTTCGTAGGATAACTCCTCAACCGACAGCCCACATCACGTCAACCACCCCTCAATACGGGGACGTGGTGAGACTAACTACCAGTTGCCTGTACAGTAATGTGAGAGGTCTAAGAGGCAAAATAGCTGAACTTAGATACCTACAATCACAGCTGAACTCCAAAATCATAATACTGACGGAAACCTGGCTAACCCCTACGGTGGCAGACAGCGAAGTCAGTATAAATGATATGGTCCTAGTCAGGCGAGATAGGGATCTGAAAGAAGGAGGTGGAGTCGCCATATACGTCGACAAACAGCTCAGATGTGTCCATGCAATCGACCCTCCCCTCATTGAGCTACCCGACTCCATATGGTGCCATTTCACCGTTGGGTACTGTAAGTATCTAGTGGGCAGCATTTACAGATCACCTTCATGTGGAGCAGACCACAACCAGGTACTGCTGAATGCAATTTCAGCGACACAAGACATGGGTTATGATCAAATTGTCATAGCTGGAGACTTCAATGCCCCATCTCTTAACTTGATGACGGGATATGCCCAGGACAGATTTGATCGAAATCTGCTGCATACCATCAGGGAGGCCGGATTCACTGAAAATGTCAGAATGGATACTAGATGGGGCCCAGATGGGAAGTCTTCTAGACTGGATTACGTGCTCACTAGTGACCAGCTACTAGTGGAAAACGTTCAGATCACGACTCCCATAGGTAGTAGTGACCACGCGGTCATAACATTCGACATAGTCCTCCGCGAGCGTTTACAGTGGGATAATACACAGCCCTATCTGTGTTATAACAAAGCCAATTACACCGAAATGCGAAGACTTTTGTCTGAAGCAAATTGGCCAAAAAATTGGACAGAGCTTACAGTAGAAGAACACTGGGGAGTGGTAAAGGAGATCATTCATCAGGCGGTCTCAGACACTGTTCCTTTAGTCACCCCTAAAGCTAGAAAGCAACGTTCATGGCTAAAAAGGGGGACACAACGCCTTCTACAGGCGAAGCGAAAAGCCTGGTTTGCGTGGCGAGTATCGAAGGGTCAACCCGATCACGAAGTGTACCTCGAACTCAGGAATCGATGTAACATACGAGTCCGGAGTGATAGAAGGACATTTCAGAGAAACCTCGCCAATAAGCTTCTCGTGAACCCCAAAAGCCTATACAGGTTTATGTCTGAAAGAAAACCGACCAACCAGGGAGCTTGCAATCTAGTGGGTTCTGATGGGAAATCTCTTACTAGTCTTGAAATGGCAGAGACATTCAGTCTAGCCGTTCACAGGCAACTGAACAGTAACGAGGATTTTACCCCCACAAAACATCAAGATTACAATGCAAGACCAACGTGCGAAAACCCGCTGGGTACATTTCAAATTACCCCGGCTATGGTACTCGTAAAATTGGGAAAGTTGGCTTCGGGAAAGTCTGCAGGTTGCGATGACATAAGACCATCCGTCCTGAAGCAGTGTTCAGAAAGTCTCTGCCAACCCCTAAGTGATCTGTTTCAACACTCCTTTGATGTAGGGAAACTTCCATGTGAATGGAAACGAGCCATCCTATCCCCTATCTTCAAGCGTGGTGACCGGCAGAACGCGACCAGTTACAGACCAGTTGCGCTACTCCCAGTGATATCGAAGATATTGGAAAGTCTCATTGACGACCACATGAGAAAATACTTCGACGGGACTAACCTACTCTATGAAGCACAGCACGGTTTCAGGAGGGGAAGATCCTGTGTGACGAATCTTCTACTAGCTTGGAACGATTGGACACTATCCTGGGATGTGAAGGTACCAGTCCATGTGATCTTTCTTGACTTTGCGAAAGCATTCGACACAGTTCACCATGGCCTGCTCCTTCACAAAATAAGCAAAGCGGGTGTTTCTGGAGCACTTCTCGCATGGCTGGAAGATTATTTAAGCGAGAGAGAATTCTGCACCAAAGTCAACCACATCCGATCATTCTGGTACACCTCGGCATCAGGGGTTCCTCAGGGTTCTATCTTAGGGCCGTTGATGTTTTTGGTCTTTATCAACGACCTGCCCTGTCAACTGAATTGCTCTGCACTTCTTTACGATGACGACGTAAAGATTTGGAGAGCAACAAACTCATCGGAAGACTCCAACAGATTGCAGGCTGACCTGCAAACGCTGGGAGACTGGGCTCTGGCTAACGGAATGCCTTTCAACTTAAAGAAGTGCAGAGTAGTGCAACTTCATTCCGGCAGGTCACGGAGTGCAAATTACACCCTTGGTGGCCAGAACTTGAGTTGTGTGCCATCAGAACGCGATCTAGGCCTTATTTTAACAGAAAAGCTAGACACCAGTGTAAATTACACGAGGGACGTCGCCAAAGCTTACACCACTTTACACTTTATGCATAGGCAGCTGGGAGCTCTTACTCCTGAACTATTCCTAACGCTGTATACGACATACGTGAGGCCAATCCTTAAGGTGCATAATATCATTGCTCCTCCGCTACTCAAAAGGGATGCTAACATGCTAGAAAGTGTCCGGAGACGAGCGACAAAATGGGTGATCGGCCTCCGCAACAAATCATATGAGGAAAGACTGAAGAAATTAAGTCTTTTCACACTTAGTTACCGTAGTCACAGGGGAGACCTCATCACCGTCTATAAGATCTTAAATGACCAGGCCCACCCTAATAAGAGCATCCTGCCATTAAGTGATTATAGACTTCCACGAGGTAACCCGCTAAGGATAGCACACCAGAGACCAAGGACTCGAGTGCGTTCACATTTCTTCTCGCTTCGAGTTTGCCGTCTCTGGAATGCTTTACCGGCGGCCGTAACTACAGCTCCATCTGTGGGGACTTTTAAGCGGAAGCTGGACAATCATGCAGAAATGCATGGTTTGTGTCTCAATGTCTTACCCTCTTAAAATTTGAAACCACATTGTCAATGGATAAGCATACAAGCTAAATCCCCACGACCCGTCCTGTCTTCTCCCACTGTACCGACTACTCTATCTTTTCTTTCTTTCTTTATTATTTCACTTATCTCAACCTATATTATCTACAATACAACCTATTATTATTATTGTTATTACTGTTATACTTTCATGACTATACCGAATGACCAACGGGTGTTAGGTCAAACTCCATTCACGGTAGCAGCTGAGTCCTAACATACTGCATACTACAAACCACAATCTTGACCAATCCTCGCACCACTCCTCTTGGAATCTACCAGAGCTAAAGCAGTCGAGTGGCGGGATTTACTACGCATAAGTTCACCGAAGATCTGGAGCCTCTACCTTACAATCAAGAAGCGAGCTCAAAGAAATCACTGGTTTATACTAGCTCGTAATCGGGATATTGGATATTGATCGTTAGGGTCATCATATAACCTTACCAGTAATTCAAAGTCGAAATTATCGTGATATACGTTTTCGCTTGATCTCACATTGAATGCTTTTAAGACGCTACCCTTAATAATCAAGTGAATTAAAATATAAACAACGGAGGGAGTTTATCACGAGTAGTTTGGATGTATTTTGGAGTGTACTGATGTTTTTATTGTCGGAAAATAAAATCGCAATTGTTAGATTGTTGAGTCTCTATGTTATGTAGACAAATGCGTCTGGTTCGTGGAATTCAGAAAATGACTGGCATACCGCAAAATAGTCTCATGATTACATACAGATAGACGTTTTTGTGAAATACTTTGTTTGTTGCAAAATAAATAGTATCCCTCAACAGCACGGAACACTATAACGATTATCCTCCTTTCTCCAGTCTTATGTCTATTAATGGGACAAAATATGGGCTGAACAACAAGAAGCCAATGCTGCTTTCAAGCCCTTCACAGCCATCGTTAGCAGCACATACACTGACAAAATTTATGAAGGACGACTTTCCTGTAAATACAGATATGTTTGTAATGCTTTATTATGACTCCCGTAGTCTGAGTCACAGCTTACCAATAACTTACAGATATTCTTTAATGGAGAACAAAATCGTTGAGTCGAAGGGAATGACAGTAGAAACTAGAAACGAATGGTATAACCTTGTCGCTGAGTCAGACAGATTTGTTGTTGAAGGCAATGAAGCTTGCCAAGAAAATATCTCTCCAGCTCAAAGATACACTGTTAACTTTTCAAAACTTCACTATGATGATTTTAGTCTAAGCAACACTACTACAAATGACTTTGAGTACCGGGACACAGGAGCATGCTTCTATAGAAATTCAATTTTAAGTTGTGGTGAGTACGTGATAATAGTTTTCTCCTTCTGTTTTTTTGGAGTTGTTTGCATAACTGCTTGTTTGATTTTCACAATCACTTTAACCAGAATCTCTTTTGTTATTATGCACCTTAATAGTTTTAATTTATGCACTTATCTGAAATTTTACCGTATTTCATAATGTCTAAATATAAAGTCATCAATTTAATGTATATATGACATTTCTGTTTACTAATCCATTTCATAATGTTAAGCTTGTGGCAAGTCAATGGTATTTTATTTCATGGTTCACTGATTAATTATGTTGTGTTAATTTAAACTTATTCCTAAAGACCAACGATAGACATTTAAGTTTTCGTCGACTTATTTCTCTATTGTATTAATACTGTTTATAATTTTGGGTTGCATGTGAGTACCAATCTCTTGTCGAACTTAATAAGCTCAGCAATTGTTAATGTCAGACAGTTGAAAGCAACAGACAAAGAGGACTTTAAATTCGTTATGCAGCATGCAACAGTAATGCAAGTAAATTTGTGTCAACTCATCAATCAACGCAAACAGCCTATGCGATTAGATGCAGGAACATATTTTCCATCTAACTGAGCGTCGGGTGCATCAGTATCACAATTAAAGGCTAAAATTCTCATGACAATGCAAATCGTCACTAATATTATCAAATGTGTATAAGCGGATCTGTATAATCACTTGATATGGTGTAAGGATACATATGCAAGCATCGTTGAACAGTGGATACAAAACTGTAGAAAACAGAGGCCCCAACGCGGTGAGTATTAGCGGGCACACGGATATTAGCTCACTACAGATAATAACCAGTGTCCGATCAAATAGGACATAACATGTGGACCAATAATTCAATATGAAAGTATTGGTAAACAACACATGAATGAAAATGCATAGATTAACAAACAAATCAGCTTCATCAACAGTCTAATTCTATACAGCAAAAATATCCATTCAGACATCCATAAAACACAAAATAATCGAGCAAAGAATATTCTTTTCGATAAATTCCTCTTCCGGCTCTACAGTCATATATATGTTTATATACACAGAATATTTTAAATTAGTAGTTAATAATAATAATAGTGTATTTTTAAATAATATCGATTTGTAAAGTATGATCAATGCAATTACAGTTCATTAAAGATGCTTTAATTATAATAATAATAAATATGTAATAGCGAATAGAACACCAACTGAAATTAGGGAAATTCCACAAAAATTCCGGATCATTCAAACCTGGATGACCAAGGTAAGGATAATGTCTGAACTAACTTCTTTTGGATGCATAAATTAGGCTTCTTAATATGGATCCCCACAGCCTCAGTAATATTTAGTAGTCGAACTCTTAAGGCGAAATTGAGATTTTTTGGTATGCGGTAAATGACTTTGAAAGCCTCGTTGACATTAATCTTGTGTTCTGCATCCACAAGATGGGATAGAATAGCGCTACGAATAGATTTTGTTTGTCCTTTGCTTAACCATGCAGGGTGATGTTCGGAAATCCGACGAGGAACACGCCTAATTGTACGGCCTATGTAAATGGCTCCACAGGAGCAGTTAAATTCTAATTCTTAACAGAACCACCAAATAATATGCATAATTTCGATATTTTTTCACCGTGTCTTCACAAATTCAACTTACTTGGTGATAAAACGTTCCTTTGGGTTCCGAGCGAAACATAAGACATAAGCTGCACACTTCCATTTCACTCAGTTTTCTGCAGTCACTATCTGCTGACTTTGCTATTGCCAATAAACTTTCATATCTTCACACGATTTCCTTTATGTCACTCTTGGAAGCCAAACTGGTCACTTTTCATTCAGATCCCACTATAGAGCCTGGGGCATGGTGTCACTCGACGGTCTCTTCAGCGTGCAACCGAACGATCTCTACTTTCGTCAGCATATTTGTAAGGAAGCCGAAACTTGGCTGGTTCGTTCACAGAGCTCCTTGTCTCTAATCCTTTCTGGACAACCATCCTATCTTCAGCACTCAGCTAGCAAAGTCAGCTGTTGATAAAAAACTGAACCCTGTTCGAGATGCTTTGCATGACACTCCAATTCTCTAAACTATGTGGAAGAACTGACTTAATATTGATGTTGAAAATCAGAAACTGGTTCTTCATATTTTGTGCAAATAGATTTCCTCATGGATTTTGGAGTTATAAATGTGTGTCTTGCTTTTCCGATCCTAACTTTTATATTGTTTTCCGTGAAGCGCTTGTGGCTGACGCTGATTAGACAGATAAAACTTTCTTCCATTGATGGTGATTGGTACTTATTGCTGTTATTCAGCTACCATCGTCACCTCCGTCCTCTCTATGCTCATCTGAAGCTTTGCTTTCGTTGCTACTTCTGCTATCTCGTTGGTTTTTACCTGTAGATCTTCAAGTTTGTGAGGTATGATGCATAGTTCATCGGCAAGTTCCGATCCCCTAGGGTTCGTTTTCGGTTGAATGTATGCCCATCTTCTCTCTCCACACTATCTGTTGCATGATCCAGTCCACCACAGTAAGAAATATCCTCGGTGATATTAGCCAGTTTCACCATACTCCTGGCTTCACTTCGGTCACTTTGTTTAGCTTTATTTTATAAATCGATTGGCATAATACGCTACCATCAGACAACTGTTCAATGAGGCTTATAAGTGTTGGCGTCACTGCACTTGATAGTGTTGCGGTAAACACCAAATTACTACACTGTCGAAGGCTTTTTCAAAGCCCGTAATAACTGAGGTAGAGATTTGGCTGTCATTTTGTACTGCGTTCGATGATCACGCGTAGCGTCGCAAATTAGTGGGAACAGCGATTAGGACGCTCGCCGACCATGCACATGGCCTGGTATGCGATCTCCGACCGACGCACACCTGATATCAACGGTCGGCCTGCTAAATTTGGGCTACCTATATCACATGCTGAAAATTCCTTACCTATACCGAACTACTGTAAGGAATCAAGCTACAATAAAATTAAAAAATTAAAAATCAAAATGCACATGTGTCTGCTGGAGTAAACGAAACAGTTTAGGTTTAAGAGGGCTATATAGGCGAAAAAGTTATGGTCTGGAAATAAAGTTACAGGCTGAGTGACGCAGAATATTGGAGCTAATTTTTGTAGCTAACAGTCCCACAAAGTGTCATGATTACTTGAACATACTGTAAATCATCGATACTTGTTTTAGGACTAATAGGAAAAATCTTTGCAAAGTAAGACCCTAAGTCAAATGATTATCTGGACAAAATGTCTGAAATAAGATAATTTGCATTGAAATCTTAAATACCAAATATTTCCGGGTCTATCTTCTTTAAATCCTAAGCAATTTTTTTCACATTAGAAAGTCTTTCTGTTTGCCAACGCTTTCACGATGGGTTGTTTGACTATATATGACACAAACGTGTAACACCAATCTTAGACTGCTTTTTTGAAGGTGATTTATGTGTCCCCTCATCCTAATAGTTTTCAGTCGGAATAAAAGTTACATGGAATATGTGTAGAGTAATTTTCAGGTAACCCCAAGGTGGGAGTGCAAGAAAAGCTGAATTAATCTGAGGGAACTTTTTTGAGGTTTGGCTGATTGAAAGGACTGAATGCGTTATTCTGAAGTACTTTGATGCGTTTTGCTAAGACTTACTTTAGTATTAACTACTCAGTTATTCCACTGTTTGACTTCTCAAGAATGTCAGTGATACTTATTTTTGATTGTCTAAGGATTTATTAAAGAAGTACTGCCATTTGAACACTGTGATAATTTTGTTGTTGTTGAGGGCTTGCAACATTTTTATAACAATACACTTTACAAAATGCTTCTGCAGAGCATCTGCGTCTAGTTAATTGAAGTTAGAGTTGGCAACTGAACCAGTATGGGTTAAGTCTTGATTCTAAGGCTTCTATGTGTTGGCCTATATTTCAACATTATTGTTCCCTAATTATAGAGATATCTTTAGGCTCCTATCAAAGTGTTTTTAAGAAATACGTAGTGAATCCAAATTTCAGTCGATTAGTGATATAACTTCACCGCTAACCAATGACACCGATAAGCGTTCGTTTCACATTCAGCATGCTAAGCTTCACCAGCTATAATTTCTCATTGAAACTTCAGGTTATCCATCATGTAGCCGTGACGAATTTTATACTAGAGTTAGTCAAAATCTATACAAATCGGAAATGTGAATATCGATCTAGTAATCATTCATCACTGCACAACTGATGTCATGAACTACCAGTAAGAAGTCATGGTTGGTGAGGTTCCGCATGGTGGATTGAAGGCTGATGCTCATTGGTAGCATTAGTTTGTGGTGACGCAATTTCGCTAATTGACTGGAGGTAAAGTTCACAATTCGTTGGATTCCTACACATTATTTAGTTCGCCAACGGGCTCACCTTGCAGCCTAATGAACCTAAGTTGGATTTGTGGTGCGGTCGTTAGTGCCCACTAATGGAGATTTCCAGACTAGGACAAAGTAGCTTGTCAGTTCCCCTTGGTTTCTATTGATTCTCTGTCCTAAGCAGTATATTAAAAAACAATCTTCCTGGAATTCAGTCTCAGCTTGCTTAAGGTAATTTTATATAAATTTTTACATAAAACAGCATCGTTTCACTAGTAATTCTCAATTTGGATCCCAAGAATATACCCTACGTTGCTTTGAAGATTAACTTAAAGCTATAGGAATCTTAGGAGTTATCACCTAGTTTCGATATGCTTTTTCTTTAGCTATTTCAGTCAAAAGATCAGAATATATCGAATTAGTTTTGGTACACATCAACTGTATTTATTTCAGGACTGTATTTCGGTCATTGAAAGTCCAGCACTTTACAGTGCAATGTAGTATCTATTTATCATAAAGATTCAGTCGTCGATGAATAGAAAGTGAAACTTCCGTTTATTCGATGAATTTCTTCGAAAATGTATTCACTTTGTCGCTAAGTTGCGTATATCTCTGATGAGGTGTATGTACTTAAGCCTAGTGGAAGTGAAAATTGAAGGCGTGAATAGGTTTTTACTTTCTTTTTATGAATTTGAAACAGTGGCTAGTAATTTGCTCTCAGGTCCGCCCGTATATCTTAATTTTTGTCATATGGGAAACACACCTTATATTTATAATCTATCTACAGACATATCTGGATACAGATGTCATGTATTTTAGTTTCCACAATCGAACGGACGTTTATTCCGTCAAGTTGATGGTGTCGCAATGGGAAGCCCCTTGGGACCACTTTTCGCTGACTTATTCTTGTCACGCCTAGAAACCGGTACCCTGCAACAACATATACAAGAAACGGATCCATACCTAAGATATGTTGATGACATTTTTATTGCCTGTGGAAGCAGATCAAAAGCCGAAGACATGCTGATAAAATTCAACTCATGCCATCCAAATCTCAATTTCACAGTAGAACACGAGGAAAATGATACTATCAAATTCCTAGACGTTTTTCTGGCGAAAATGAATGATGGCACAATCGAAAGATCTATATTTAGAAAGTTCTCATGGACAGGACAGTATATGCATTTCAAGAGTTTTGTTCCAACCCAGTACAAAAAGAACTTAGTCAGAACACTGTTCAATAGAGCACGAAAAATTTGTTCTGACAATACTGTTGAGTATGAAATAAAATCCCTGAAGGATATCTTATCTAAGAATGGATATCCTGAGAAGTTTATTAATAAATGCTCTAAAGAAAACACCCGCTCCAAAACAATCCAAACAGTTCCGAAGAAACCTGCCTATATCAGTTTGCCGTTCAAAGGAGATGATGTACAGGAAGTAGTCGAACGAAGATTCGACAAAGCCATCAAGAGAACTTATTATGCCGCAAAACTTGTTTTACTTAACACCACTAAGCGAGTGCTTCATCAATCTGGGAAAGACCAGTCGCCAATCCTCGACACTTCAAACTGCGTATATCAATTTGAGTGTGTTTGTGGAAGCAAATACATAGGTCGTACGGAAAGGAGATTGTCTACTCGCATGACGGAGCATTTGCCAAAATGGTTGAAAACAGCTGAGTGCAAAGTGCCAAAATCCTCAATAACAAAGCATCTTGTGGATTACGGGCATGATATCGACGCAGTCAAGTCATTCACCATTGTCAGCAGACAAAGAAACAAGAAGATGCTTGCAATTGCAGAGGCTTGTGCAATTCGAGTTTACAAACCAGGTCTCTGTGTACAAAAGGAGATGGTCGTGACTCTGAATCTACCATGGTAATACGTTTTACTTATAATTCTACCTCTTATTATTATTTTATTATCACTATTATTATTCTCATTAATATTATTCTTGATTCATTTAAAACTATCCTTTATCAGCAGCATTATCTTAACTCACTTCAACGCTATTATTATTATTGTTATTATAACTATTACTATTGACATCCCTCTGGTTGCAATTCTTGTTAAATTCTCTAATGTCTAATTGTTTATCTAAGTGATGTAATTGAAGCGTAATGCAATTTATCTTAATTTTGATCTCCCATACTCTCTCTCCTCTTATCTAATTGAACATGACCTGGAAAAACATTCGCACCTGTCTTTCTGCATGACTAATTCAATGTAGTTTATCTACTTATCAGTCCTATATCTCCCAATGTAATTTCAAAAGTATATATATCCGTGTATGTAAAGTATTCAGTCCTATATCTCCCAATATAACTTCAAAAGTATATATCCGTGTATGTAGAGTATTCAGCTGACGAGTTCTACCGAAATTTGATGAATTCATTAAATCCTGCTTTATTAACCTTTATTGCTTGTTTTAAGTCCACAATCGAAGCCTATCTTAAGGAAAGGGTTGTTAACTTTAAGTAATTGTGAACAGAAAGAATACCTGAATCTTTAGATTCTGCACTAATCTAGTGAGATGATAACGGTTAGAGTTGTGTGAAGCAAACGAAACAGCCACCTGGTGATATACTGCATAGCTATTAACATATGAGTACTGTCTGTGTTTTAGATATCTCAAAGAAATAAATATATTGAAGTAAATCAATAAATCTGCAGCTATACTGAGAAGTAAAATCTCTAATAGCAATAAGTTAGAGAATATTAATTCTATATGACGAAACGGAAGCATGAGGAACCATACACTTAAATCAATTAATGTCGTCAGTCCGCTGAATAATGCTACTCTGATTCTTTTGAATATAATAATAAAATAATTTTTACATCCTTTGTAAATTGTTTGCTATTATCAATTTTTAGGAGATCAACATCAAAATTGGTTTGGAATTATTCCCGGAGATGGTGCGGTGGCTATAAGTTTAGTTAAGACATCTGTATATTTCTACTCCCATCTTGGCAAACCAAGGCCGCAATTCAATCACTTGAGTCATAAATCTACTGATAACTTAAGCAGCGCAGTGGCAGGAGATACAAATTTAGTATCATCTGCGGACAGTCCTGTAACCAATGGTCATGAGGCGAACTTGAATTATTTACCTGCCTGGTTAGTGATTGTTCGACGTGAAAAGGTGAGCAGTAAACAGACCTAGTGATTTGATATCAAAGTGTTATCTTAAATGTTTCCCAAAGCTAATAAGATGTTCTTTAGAAATATGTGATAAATCCTAGGAATTAATCCAGTGAATCAGTGATGAATCGCATCTTTTAGTCGTATGTATTTATGGCGAAAATATTTGAGCAGAGAATGTTGCCCAAATGAATCATCAGCTGGAACTTTGTAAAAAGAGCTAAGGCCCCCAAGACTCCTGAATTATTTTCTGCTGAAGATGTATATTTATCTACTGTTCAATACCAGAAAATTTACAGTAAGTTTTCAACCATTACAGGTTATAGCAAAAGAAGCGTACCCCAACAGAGAAGCAGTAAGTCGTTAGTTCAGAATTTTCGAAACGACTTAACTCCAAACAGATAAACTAATTACAAGAGATACAAATCACAAAAGTTTGCTCATTGAGCCATATCTGATCATTCTCACTATACAAACAGATAGAGGAACATAGTGAACTCCTGCTTATCCGTACAAGTAAAATGTACTTTCAGTTTATTAAAATATGGAATCAAACTTAAAAACAGTGAAAACAACCAAGAAGCTAAAAGCCAGTTATTTTTCAAGCTAAGCTTCTTTCGTGGGGATAGATTTTACAAATTGATGGAAAGTTAAGGTTGTTACACAAAATTAATTCTGCTCTGTGCTATTAATCTTTTCTGCTTTTGTCCTCCTTAAGAATTATCAAAATATACACAAAAATGTGTGCAGATTTTACTTTTTCAAGTTTCATATTTTACATATCCCCTTTGAAGATGAAGTGAAACGCTTTAATAGATAGTTTAACTATCAAAACAGTGTGACCTCTTTCATATTAAACGGCAACTGTGTGTAGTCATGAAGCCTTTCAGGTACTTTGTAACCCAATTAACTGATGACGTTTTGAGCATAGTTTATTGCTCATGAACATATCAGAGCACTCACACAACTTCCTGCATAATTTCATTATTTCTCACCCTTTGATCTAATTGGTAGTGGCATTGCCTGATTACTGTTGGGAGTTAAATGTGGATTCGATCAACAAGTATTCAGTGATCAACCTCTCGCTTCACGTACTTATATTCCCTCTTCACACTATAGCTGTGTCCCAGCCTCTGGTGTGATTGTGTGTTAATTTGTGTATTGCGATAGCTGAGTCTTATTATAAACTATTTATCTTTCAGTGGTCAATCATTCCACGTTTAGTTAAGTTCTTATTTCCCAACAATTTGACTATCCTAGTTCTGCCGTGTCGACTCACAAGCGTTGCGAAGTATTTTGTAGGGTAAAGTACCTTGTCTAATTGGATTAATGGAGTCATCCAGTCCACAGAGTTTGTCCCTGAGAATCCCACTCATTTATTCCAATATCCCATCCTTATATGGTAAAACTGTATATGCCTTAAATTGCCTCTCATTTATGTTGTGGTTAATTGTTTCACAACTACTTTTCTCCTATTTTGAGCTACTTTAAACCTCCTGTTGGATTTTATGGGATGGTTAATTAGCGTTGCTGTTACTTCTCTCTTTCTCATTCCATCATTTAGGCTTTCTGACGTCCTACACAGAGCTTTGATTATGTCGGTAAGCCACTTATCTAAGCCTTCCATTACACACAACAGATTAGATGACTTAAAGTCTATGTACCTACTAGATTTCGTTAGTTTTATATAAGCACTAGTGCACAGTTTGCTGTCTGCTATTGGTTTTACTCTACAGTCTGACATGGTTAATTCCTCTTGTTCATTTTGTAAATCAAGAGCATATTTGATTCCCTCTACTACAAAGCTTATATATGTGAAGAAAGTAAAGTTGTTATATTTTTTTAAACACTGAGAGTGTCAACCGCATCTCTACACCATATCTTTGGGTTAAGATTAAGTGTTTTATGGACCATATTTTCTCAATCATTCATAAAGATACACTACAGTTAGGAATATTAGTGATCCTATTACCACTTTCTCCATTTGCCCTCATATTTTGCTCTGGAATTCCAACGCAATAGATGTGAGACACAATTGAACTCCTGGAATCATTTCTTCAATTGTTAGAGACAATGGCGTTATTTCCATTATTATGTAATTGAAATCAGTTAAGAGAAATTTTGTCGTTCCTGTTAACAACCCACAACTATAACAACTCGATACAAATTTATTATGAAAGGAAATGTTTTTTTTTTGTTTTGAATAACTGTAAATCTCTCTCCACTTGAAATGCCTGCTTTAAGGATAACTACTGATTTTAAATTGATACAGAAGGGGAATCATGGCGACTCAGAAAAACTTCATTATTTCAAGTACTGGGGAAATAGCTTGTATTAGCTATCTCAATTCTATTCGGAAGAAAAAGTTACATGGATTCACACACATACTGAAACTTACTAAAATTATCTATATGGGATGTTGACAAACCTTGTCACAGACTTATTTAAGATGTTACTGGTATCACATTGAATGTGTTCACATACATTGAGTGAAATTCACTCGTAAATTTGTTCATAGGCCTGCAGTTGCTTAAAATCTGTTGGAAAATACAGAGATGTAAATAAAAGTATTAATCACATTAATAAAATTAAACCTACGAATAAAACTTAAAGAATCAATGGAAATATTTTCATTTAGACGAAAATACCTTTTCTTCAGTAAGAATGCTGATAGTGATCACTGAGCTGAGTGGATAAGTAAAATGCTTTATTGATTTTTGGTAAATTAAATTTAACGCTTTCTTTTCAGTTGCTTGAAACAGTACGATAACGTGGTATCTGATATTCGTCAGGAGCCAAAGATATTTTAATACAGAATAACTTATTCTTTTGATAGAAGAAGAATTGTTTTCATTTCGAGTCAAGTGACGAACCATTATAACCCAGGGATTACTGAACAGGTGTTTCGTACTAGTTACGGACTCTTCATCAGTGCGTATCCGTAAAATAATCTGGTGCGCAGTGAAACTACGATTGGATTTCTAACGACTAAGGGAAATAATGAAACAATTGACATGTTTTCACTAGTCTTTGAAGAAATATCAATTGATGTATGTGTTTAATGACGTAAATGTGTAGCAAAATATTGTATCCCATTCAAATTCATACGATTATCTGATCCATATTTTTGGGCACTTAATCGGTGAATTCACTAGAAATGCCCTATTTACTCGTATTAGTTTTCCCTTCAGTGTTTGGGTTAACATTTTGTCACTTAACAAGGCAGAAATTTAAACGAATAAAGTGACAGTAGGTTAATTCGTATGATTTTATATAAAGTCTCGTGAATAGTTTAAATTAGAGAAATACATCTTGATATGGAGCAGAATAATATTTACTCCTTTGAAATAAGTTCTGTTAAAATGTCACACATGGAAATAAATATCTTATCTATTGAACAAATGTAAGTAATTTATTTTGAATATAAATCATCTGATTTAAATAGGGATACATATCACTTTTTTGTTAAATTTACTGTTAAATCTAGGGTTCTGATTTACGCGGTTGTGTAATAAACAAAACTCATATACAGAATGATAAATCTCTTTGTCCCTTAATATTCCAAGAACTAAATACTGACGCTTTTAGCAATAATAATAATAATCAAGATGACAATAAATCTCTTACGCTTGCAATGACAAATTCTTTAATAACTGAAACAACACTTACTCCGAATGTTGCTACAATGTCTGCAGTAACAACGACAGGTGCCATAGGCAATGCACAATTAAATGGCAAGATAAAAAAACCAACGAAAAAGCTGTCAATAAAGATGAAAAGTGCTTCAGCTGGTAATATACCAGAAGAATATTCATTATTACAATATTTGGTGAAAAATGAAAATATTATGGAATATTTAAAACCCGGTGTACGAGACAGATCAGTGTATGAAAAATTATTGAAATTGGATGAAATGGAGGTAAGTCAACTGTGAATTATGCATTATAGTAAACTATATTGTTGGTTATAATCTTGGAAATTCATAAGTAAAGTGAAGCCCATGACTACAGTGATAACTCCACGAAACCGAAAGTGAAGTCGGAAGTTGTTGTTGCAAAGAATAGATATTAGGCAAATAGCTTGCAAAATGAAGCTGTTACTGATGACCATCACTTTTTATTACCATATTTGTTGATGGTAGCCTTATGTTAGCACTTGAAAACTGAATAACCGATTTTTCGGTTCGACTGAGTAAGATATCTACCCTAAAGTTATTTAGAAGAAAAGTGTGTTTCCCATGAGTGCCTAAAGTCATGACATAACTGGTAATTACTAAACATTTTGGACAGTACTTATGCAGTAATGAAAGCGACAAGACACTGATAAAAAGGCATATGTGAACGTGGTTAAAAATACTGGATGAACATATATTTATGGTCAGTATAAAAGTGATCACTAAAAATGGTTCTTTCCACACTTTCAGACTATTTTCGGTAACCGCTATGACACAAGGTGGAAGAATGACAGATTAGTGGGTAGTATTTTACCTCTGGAAATGGAAGTCATTTCAACCGACATTCTGGAATATGAAGCTTAGAATCCACCCTTTAACAAGATGCATTTATTTACAAAGCCATTTTATTGTTGCAGATGATTCCACACACAAACATTCACACACCGTTATTGATTTAGAGGACCATACAATAAATTTAGTTTCTTTATCTTCTGTGAAGTGAGACTTGTTCAATAGCCTCGTCTGTCTGTTCATTGTCGCAAAAATGTTTTCCAAATTCTAACACTTGAAGTTGAAACTTGGACTATTTTGATGAAAACTATACTGGAGTTCTCCTCATCCTCCTTTGTGACCGCGAGACGAGGCTGTTGAATGTAGAAGATGCAAATATGCTGGTTGCTTTGAGTTATAGGTATGTACGTTAAACTTCTAGTCTTAAGTGGCATAATGTGGTCAGTAGTAATGATGTGAGATGTTAGGTCAGGAGGTGAAGCTAGTCAGTGAGGTTTTCAAGCCATATTGCTCGAGACGTCTAGGTGGTGTATTCCACACGCCAAGCCACGACCTTCCCCTATGAGCAGTGTTATTTGATAGAGGATTAAGTTGGAAAAGAGTGTAGGAGAGTTAGATCGAAACATGAAGTCCTTATAGTTGGTTTGGGTCACTTAGGGGAGCGTGGTTTATCTGGTTGATGCCCTCGAAACTCTAAGAACAAATCCTTGCAGACTGTTGTTAATATGGCTCGAAATTGTTGTCAGTGGCACATATATATTCACTCATTGTTACATACCACATCGCACCCCAGGCCCTTGAATGCAACCCAAATGAGAAACGTTGAATTGGTCATTCAAGGGTGACATGAAGATCGGGAAAGGGGGAGATGAAAGATTATGGGCAATCATGGGCCGAAGAGGATAGCAGAAAATAGGACAAAGTGGAGATGTGTTGTTGAAGCCCTGTATTCTACATAATAATGCTTTCTGATAATCTCTATTGTTTTTGGTGTAAATGTTCTATCTGACGAACATTTCTATTCACTGTAGCTACATTGCATTTCTTTTCTCTGCCTTCGCATGAGATTTTTTGAAGTGTAACAAATTCAACTATTGCACTTCTTGCACAGTTCTACATTGACAGTTCAGTGAAGTTCTACTAATAATAGTTTCGTCGCGTTAAATTGCTTCCTTTCTGTAGGTATTCTTGCATAGATTCCTCTTTTTCTTATACAAATATTAGCCTTTTAAATAGGCTCAACAGTCTGAATTTAACTAAAACCATACCGTATAATTACGCAGCAGTAAAATGTCGTCATAAAAATGAACTTTATTTGAAAAGTCCATGTTCTTTAACAAATTCTGTTACAGTTATAGAAAATAATTAGCAACTAATCAGTGCTAGGGTATAGTTACCAAATCTACAAAAAATAGAAGTATGTTATATCGACACTAACAAATCCATTAATCATAAAATGAATTTGTCCTATTCCTTGATTACTGTTTAACCAGATAGCTTGAATAATTCGTTTTAATTCTGGAACAATAATAGATCATGTTAGAGTTTAACAATCATTGTGATATGACACGTAATGCTACAAAAGACACTCCATATTTTTAAACTATCTGCCATAATACTTAAACCGATGATATTTCAGAATAGCAATTCAAGATTACAATTCCTGAGACATTTTGTAGGAATACAGTGCGTGACATGTGTTTACAGGCAAATGAATTTTACTTTAATTACCACTGTATAATGCATCTATGAAGTCATTAGGTCTTTGTCAATCGAAAAAATAATGTAAATTCAAAGGTGTTGTTCATGTCCACGTTATTTATTCAAATAATTTTGAAAGGTATTGTTTTTTCTTGTTTGAAGAAGGCATCAGTGCATGTGTTCACATTTATAGTCCAATTTATTTAACAGATCGAAAAAGTAATTCAGCAAGTAAAAGGTTTCGGAAGTTTTGTTTAAAACATAGAGAACGGTATTTAATACTCAGGAGTTAATGTTATATTAGCTATTCCAGCTAGGCAAAAGTAGTGATTGAGTTGTCTGTGATTCGAGTTTGATCACGTAGTTAACAGCTTCAATAAACTCCAAATGTCACACATATTATATCAACTGAAAAAGAACTGCTGCCCATGCCTGTTTCGCATTATGTACCAGTGAGATTCATCAATTCTTTCATTTTGAACGATACCCCTAATGAATATTAGATTTTCCATTTAATTAAATATGTATTGCGAGAAGTTAGAACTGTATTTAAAATCAGTCATTACTTATGAAAATTTTCGAGCGAACTCGTAATATAACCAAGCTACACTGGATCGATATATTGTCACCTGAATTTTATAAAATAAATATTTACCTACTTGACAAACTAAAAACAGATACATTTATTTTCACTTATTATAAAAAAAAGTAAATTTCTCAGTTGTTTTTACTTCCGAAATGCTTAATTCACATTCTTGTATAGAAATAACTAGCTATATCAGCCGGTAACTGTGTGAACACCTACTACTAAGATTGTGTAGTATATAAGTTACCTCCAGTTTCAAAATACTAAGTGGGATAGAACTATAATGAAAGCAGCCGCATAAATGATTACTTATTTGTATGGAGGATTTCATCATGAGCTGACATCAGTTAGAGAACCACTGGAAAACCTGGGAGTACTGGACAGCTGTTTCGTCCTAGTTTGGGACTCTTCAGCAGTACGCACCCACCGGGATTCGGACCCAGGACCTTCTGGTTACAAGGCGAGCTCGTAGACCATTGAGCCACTGGGACCCGATCCAATGGTCCTTGAATTCTAACTTCTGTCAATTCACGACATAGCGCGACCATTTCGCAATGTCTTCTTAGATGAGTTACTGTCACATCTTCAACCTGCTGTACCCTACTGGTCACGGCTTCCCACTAGAACCCCAGGTTAACTGCCTGAATAGGGCCAGTCACTAGTGAGCATCAGATTAATTTTCAAGTAATGGTTTGGTAGGGATTTTGTTTAATTGTATGGAGGATTATTTATTTACAACCGATACCATCGTAAGCTTTTGAATTAACGTGTGCTGAGTTTTATAAGCTATTATATTGCGAAAATATTGATTCAGACATCTATAAAACACGAAATAATTGAGCAAAGAATATCCTTTTCGATAATTTCCTCTTCCGGCTCTACACTTATATATATATCTTTATATGCATAGAATATTCTAGAATAGTAGTCAATAACAATATTAGTGTTTTTTTAAATAATATCGAATTGTAAAGTAAGATCAATGCAATCACAGTTCATTAAAGATGCTTAAATTATAATAACAATAATAATAATAAAGATATAGTAACAAATAGAATATCAACTAAAATTAGGGAAATTCCACAAAATTTCAGGATCATTCAAAACTAGATGGCCAAGGTAAGGATAATGTCTGAACTAACTTCTTTTGGGCGCATAAATTAGGCTTCTTAATGTGGATCTCAACAGCCCTAGCAATATTTAGTAATCGTACTCTTAAGGCGAAATTGAGATTTGTTGGTATGCGGTAAATGACTTTGAAAGCCTCGTTGACATTAATCTTGTGTTCTGCATTCACAAGATGGGATAGAATAGCGCTACGAATAGATTTTGTTTGTCCTTTGCTTAACCATGCAGGGTGATGTTCGGAAATCCGACAAGAAACACGCCTAATTGTACGGCCTATGTAAGTGGCTCCACAGGAGCAGTTAAATTGGTAGATGCACATGGAAGAGGCGAAATTAGGCAGTTTATCTTTTACTCCCAAACGCAAAAGAGAAGTGGTTTTGAAGACACAGCGTAATTCAGCCGCAAGGAACTCTCTTTTCACCGCATTTCTAAGGCACTGTGTTAGTATCTCGCTGATGTTGTCCCCAAGGAACTGCATTTGTAAGAATAAGGCCTTTTTAGGAACTGTTGGTACCTTGGGCTGCTTTGATTTTGGATTCATATTCTTATCAGTAAACTTTTCTGGATAACCATTTTCACTCAGCAACCGTTTAATATTATTCAGTTCCTCATCAAGACATTCATCCGAGCAGATTGGAGAGTGAATTTATGCATAAACTAGCCAGTTTCTAGTTTGTTAAAATTTATCTGTCAAATACGAATTATTGAAAATGGTGATAAAGTGATTTTCTTCTGAATTAAGTAGAAAAGTTAATACACAACTATTGTAACATAGATTACCTGGGTGATTAATTTTTGCACAAGCCTAACATCACTAAATAACATGGAAAGTGTGATACATAATAACAGCTGATAAATGGATGAATACGTATTCATAGATGCAATTAGTAATGACAAAAATACGAATGCATTTGCACATTAATTTCCAACATACACCATCACATGATACTGTAAAGAAATGAAATGAAAGAATAAGTACATGTAACTTATAAAAGAATATATTAAGATAAAGTGTTTATGTATTAATGAAATGGAAACATAACTTGTGAATTTATTGGAATTATTCTAAGTGGCAAATCTAATAGTCGACTAGATTTCCATATCAAGAACATAAAAGATGTATCTGTTTATTCACAATAAGACATTTTGCACTACATCCGATAAACTGATTTCCATAGTGATATTTTTTTTAAATAATGAGGGACAAAACAACATCGTTTTTGTGCACAACGTCTACAGGCTTCTCTTCATTGGTTTAAATTTCTTCGAAGCTGTGTAGCCAGATGTTAGAAATTCTTTATATTGCTTCCCATGGTTACGCAGAGGATTTGTGAAACTAGCCTGTATTTGTACTCTGCTTTTAATTATTCACCTGAATCATTGTAATATATTTTTTAGTCTTGTCTCCACAGTCCATGCTTTTATTGTTTAGAAATACGTATATGAATAAACTTACTCGTGTATCAGATATTACTGAATCTACACAATGTACAATATTCAGAGATTCCTGTTCATTTTCCTTAAATATTTGGAAGTTTTCTAAAGTTGTAAACTTTCCATGTAAACAGTGTTTTGAAACTATCACTTTAAACAGAATGTATGGACTGTGAAGGGGAACAAAGTCAAACAAATGATGTAACGGACATACTAGTATCGTCTTAACAGCAACGAGGAAGTCACAACCTGTGATGTAAGGAAAGACTTATAGAAACAACTGATTTACTGTTCATGGAAGAGTAAAATTTAGACGCTGAGTTAGAATATGATTTCATATTAGATAATTTTGTTTGATACAACATGCGGAGACATAGTGTTCATGAATGGATGACGTTTACAGCACAATGTTTTGCTCTGTGATCATACCACTGTATTCAAATGATTTAGCTGCCTGTCTTGTACAGCCCTACCCCTTCTTGTTTTTTACTACAGTTTTCCAAATATTCAGGACAGGTGTTGCATAATTTCAGTTGCACGTATACAGTGTTGATTAACCTCTCTCCCCATTTAATTATATCTAATTTTAATGCTTTTACTCCACGCCTTGCTATTGTGAAATTAAATGTAAGTGAATGCATAGAAACGGCCAAGCTTTCTTCTAGAATTGCAAACTTAGTGGGACCATTCATTCCGTCTCTAGCTAAGTTCCGAATTTCAATAACTTAACTGAACCCGATCTACCAGTTTGACTTATGTAATTCATGGTCTAACCATTAAATGTTACTTTTCTTGATTGGATTATGGGATCCCTATGTTGGCAAAGTTTGCTTTGAATGAGATGGTTGCTTTACATAACACCTTATGTGTATTTGTCAATATATGTTGATATTTATAACTTAGCTCTTTAATAAGAGGCAATCAACCAGTGAAAGACACTGTGTACTCCCAGTGTAACTTTAGTTTTCAACTTATAGTAAAGCCCAATGGGGCTTCTTTGCTGATATCCTTCACATCAATGAATTTAGTAAATAAACAATGCACTCTTGACAGAAAACTTGTACATCTCGTCATTTGAGATTTCAGCTTTGTATTTGTCTTTTTACTTCTCCAGTATTTACTTATTTTTATGATGATTAGTTTTCATCTGTTTTTATTTCTTGGAAATTTCCTTATCTTCATTTCATGGATTCTTGAAACTGTAACATGTGATCTGTTTATGCTTAAAACTGATACAATCTGCTCGTCTTGGACATTTTATTCGCAAAATTTAATCCTCACATTACTCGAGGATTAAATATGAAATAGGAAGTTTTTTTTTCTGTCGTCTGATAAATTACTAGCATTGACGTCATTGTTTTTAGTTTGCTGATCATATATGAATACTTATGTGCGTGTAGATTGTCTGGTAAAGATTTACCTCATAGCAGCTGAACTCCTATTAGTTTCAGTAGAAGATATATAGGGTAATGAAGCAAAAAATGCATACACACTGCGACTGGTACAGCATTGGATCATTGATAGAGTATTAAGAGATAATGTAATCCATTGTTGTTTATGAAATGCATGGATTTTGACCGCTAGCCTAATGACTAACGGTGGGGTTTCTATGTAAGTATTATTTGCTTGGTTTTTTGAACAATCGGTAATTTTTTAGTTTTCCAGACTTTCCTGCATATATATATATATGCATATATATAAGATTTCGAGACAAAATTACTCCTATGGGTTAGGAAGCAATACACGTCGCTTATAAATGATTTTCTGTTCTCAAAAATTCCCGCTGATTATCTCTACATTTATTTTCCTAATATAACCAGTCTACTATTTACTGTTATTAATTTTTTTTATAATTACATAAATGATAATGCAAACTGATTCATGCTTACACAAATTATTTTGTTTAGTGTGTACTACTGGAAATACCAACACTTTGGTTAACTTTATTTACAAGCCCACCGAAAAGATCAGCATACAGAAGCGATAGTTTTAAAACGTTTGTTAATGAACTAAACATTCCCTATATAGATAGTTGCATAATAACAGTGGAATTACTATTAGTGTATATATGCATATATCTATAATGCAGCATAACCATACCTTCTGTCCTCCACTGATAATTAGCTAAAATGATGACTATTGTATGCCTAATTTTAGTGTAATAAGAGTCTTTTTGCCTGGAGTTCGAATCCCAGCTGACGTCCTCCTAAATCGCACCTAGTTTCCTAACCAGTCGTAAGCGTGGAAAAGAACAAGAGTTGGGTGTAAGGCTAGCAGCCAACCTTATATAAATAACAACATCACCTATGCTGAAACTTCAAGTATTGAAGTCGTGAGCTTTTCCACCCGGCACGCAAGCGAATGGAAAAAGAGATTTTTCAGTTGTCTGGATAAATCATCTGTTTCACCAGTGAAACAGACTGCTAATGATGATTGTGAGTGTTTTTCAGCTTTGCAAAAAATCCTTATACAATACAGTAATTTAGAAAAGATTTTTAAGAATTCTGAAAAAGGATCTTCGAGGAATTGTTGTACAATCCAACATCAAAACTAAATGCATAATAGCTATACGATGGTATCAGTAGTGTGCTTAAAAGTTTAGGCCGTCAAAGATAGACAGTTAGAAATGAAATATAAGCAAATATGAAAATCGCAGTGTTAGAGCCTCTCCTAAAACACCAATAATTAAGAAAGAATCTTAGCCACCAAAACTTCCTTTAAGTATTGATCACAGAGTTAGCCATCACTTTCAATTTGTGTGAAGGATGCACACTGTTCGAGACTTATTTTATTGTGGGGATATTGCACTTGTTTGATTTATTGATTTCAAAATAAATTTTCTCGATAATTATACTTAAAGTGATACTAAAATACCTAACAGTAAAGCAATCAGTACGAAAACATAACGCTATCGTTCAGCGGCAAGACGCTGGCCAACGATGCACACGGCATGAGATACTAGCCCCGGCCGACGCTCTCCTTAACCTCGCTAAGACGGTAGTAAGGCCAGTAAAGACAGAACGCCGAAAGTGAGGCTAGCAACCCCATCCTGTAAAAATAAAAAACCCACTGCTGCTTACACTTGTAAGCTCTAGCCTGAAGCCCTATGTTCCGCTTGGAAGGTAAAAAAATAAAATAAAAAGGATATAACATAATTTTCTAAAGCATAATCTTCGTCATTCAGAAAGGTTCTCCGATTTCGGTCGTTTAGTCGGTTGAATTTCATATGCTGTGTCTACCAGTTTTAGTCTTTTTTCTTAATGATCTTGTTTCCAATAAACGTGGTAACTATGTCCTTCACAAATATCGATTTCACCCTTCATCAGTGACACTCCTGGGTGTTGAATTTTCAAAAAATTGCAGTAGTTCAAGTTGGCACTCTCCGTATAACACATAAAGGCAGAGGAAAATTTGAGAACTTCAATGACAGAAAATGTATGGCAGAAAAAATAATTACATGGGGAAACGTGAAGATTTAGAGAATCTGAGAGATTACAAAGAGTGAATGCACCTGTGCCACTAACGAAAATATCACCAACTGTCTCCAACCATCTACTTTTGGCTTCTGGATACGTTTGGTTACCTTTACTTCGTATTAAGATCATTTTCATTGATATTTTTCTCTACTTAGAAAATAGGTAACGCCGATATATAAAGTATGAAAATATATTCGAAATTTTTAAATATAACTTCAACTGTTTAGTAAATGCTAACTTTCTTTTAATTGAATCAAAATGACATTCCTCATTTTGTGACTTAGAAATTGCACAGAAATGCGGAAAAATATGATTATTGTTTACCTGCCAGCACCAGACTACCATCTGAATGTGAATGCGGCTTATAATGACATGTATGTGTTCCTTTCCGGCCTTTCTCTTTAGAAAGTGCTTCAACTTTTTATTTATTTACTTCTATTATTATTCGTTATTGCACAATGAGTAAAATATAATAAAAGATCTTGAAAGTAATGAGTGTAAACTGGTCTTTGAACATCTCATCGACTATTTCAAGTATGTTAGTTACTGAGGCCTGTTCCTTTCCAATCCCATCAGTGTGAACGGGACAGTATTTTTTGAACCCCCAAATATTGAAGATTTACTAGATGCTAAGTATATAGACAGAAGTCTGTTCACTATGGTGCACTCAAAATCTATATAAATGTAATGAGCTTGTTAGTCGTAGTAGTTGAAGTGAGTGTTTTGCATTCAGTAATACATTAGATTAGACATTTTCTGTAAGCAGGATAGCAACATTTATTTACTAGCCTGTTGGTATAGATGCCAAAACATAGTAAATTAAGTCACTACATCTTCTTTTACGCATCAGTTAATACCTGTTTGTTTTACTTTACACTCTTTTCTATTGCAGTTACTCAATAATCACAAATTTGGAGTATTGCTGTGCAGGAAAGATCAATCGACTGAAGAAGAAATGTATGCCAACGGTAATTTTACTCATAATTTTTGACTTTTGCTATTATAATCAAATGAGTGAGTGTAGTTATTGAATGATGAATGAACGCCGCTAACTTCTAATTCTTTGAAACGATGTCTAGTTGGCGTATTTTATACATTGTGTATCTTGTTATACGTTTAAGATTTATTGTACACACGTAGTTTTCGGTATGCAATTTTTAATGACTCAGTGAAATGTGAAGCTTTGTGTCACTGAAAATGATAATAGTGTTAGACGATTTTAAATCCCTACTTGATTTTGAATGTTATTATGTGTATTTGGAGGTGGAGGAATCTTTAATATACTTAAAAGTTACCACCGTTGTGTTTAGATGTTGACTGGGCAATTATGTGCAGTAGTTGAAATGTCATGTCTTTGAATGCCATATAACGTATATATGCTCAGTTTCTGTAATCTTACTCAGTTTCAATGTAAGTGGATAAGAAGGAAACCAAAATAGTTTCAAGATCAGAGTTTTATTAAATCGCCTATAAAACCTTTCGCAGTGCTGTTATGCAATAGGTAAAGTAAAGAAAGAATTTGTGCTATAGGGAAAGTCAGCGACAATGTCATTCGTTTTCTGAATACATCCGGGAAGAAGTGGTCTTTATAAAAATGATTCTGTTTCTGGGATGTAGTACAGATCAGTGGTAGACACATTTTTTGTACTTTGAGCATCAGATATCCACACTTTCTTTAAAAAATGAATTTAATATGCTTGCAAATTGAGAAGTGGTTAGAAGGTATCAGCATTTTCGGATTATGAATGAAAGATAATAATGTAGACACTAAAGCATGCAAAAATCGACACAGTTTTTGTGTAACTTTGCATTTAAGATCTCCTCACCTTTTAGTAATTTTAGGATATTCCACAAATTTCTAAACTAAGTCTGAAAAATGTAACTAGTTTATTAAATTTTCAAGTATTGGATTTTGTAAGCATTCTGTTTGACTGGTTGGAGGATTTCATCATGAGCTGACATCAGTTAAAGAACCACTGGAAAACCTGGGAGTACTGAAAAGCTTTTTCGTCCTAGTTTTTGGATTCTTCAGTAGTACACACCTACCGCCAATGAGAATTCATGGGCCATTGGATCGGATCCCAGTGGCTTAATGGCCCATGAGCTCGCCTTGTGCACGGAAGGTCCTGGGTTCGAACTCTGGCGGTGGGGGTGTACTGCTGAAGAGTCCCAAACCAGGCCAAAGAAACAGCTGTCCAATACTCCTAGATTTTCCAGCTGGATTATTAAAAAGCGCCTTCTACTTTTTTAATGCATATTGATATGATTATGAACAATAAACTGTGCTCGAGCAGTCATCAGTTAATAAATATCAGTGCATTTCTGTGATTTACCATATAAAATACACTATTATGATAAATATGAAAAACTGATGAAAGCAAACTTTGAAAGTTGACCCACCTCCTTCGTGATACTAATTTGAATTCAATTATACCCAAAACAACGTACAACATAAATTAATCAATCACCACATGTGATATGAATTCACTAATATAAAACACAACCACATTATTTCTAGTCATTTACTTTTATTGTAACTGTCAGCATTCGTATCAGTAAGTGTATAAACATTAAATGTAGATAAGAGATTAGTTTGTCAATCATTCTGATTGTTATTCATTTGGGATATTCGCGAGATAAATAACCTTAATGTAAACAGATACTGGTTTCATTCGCTTGCTTCCTCAGCGTTCGGCTAGTCAATCATACTTTTATAAGTATTCAGTTAGTTAGTATCTCTTTTGAAATAGACAAATGCTAAGAAATTTAGGATCCTGAATATTCAGATAGGGAAATTGAAGCATGTTTACATAGAAAGTCATCGGTAAAGATTGACCATGGTAGAGAAATTTACATATTCCCCTTGTGTGCTAGAAAAACGAAGCACACTTGATGAGATGGGATTTTCATTGATACAAAAGGTACACTACATTAACATAAGTAATCCAACCATTAAATGAGGAAGTCGACTCACCTAATTTAGTGAATAAGGAAAGTGGCTTCATCTAGCACTCTTACAAAAAATGATTGAAAAATTTTTTACTTTTACTCTTTACTTAAATAAGTGTGGGTTTGAATGTGAATCGTAGAATGTGTACAAATTCGAAACCTAGATGTGTGACTTACTGCTGTTTGATTCCTTCTAACATAAAACAAACAAAACATTATTTACTCTAGCTTGTAGGCTGTAAGGATAAATATTTTATTAGGAAACTCGATAGTCAGACGCATGTAATGTTTCAGGTCAGAAACGACTATGTAAATTTTAGGAAGATGATGTGAAAAAATCCAGTATGCATTTAAAATTGTCCTATAGCTCAAGTTATAATGCCGCTTAGTAAATTAATGAAATCAAACAGAACTGACGCACAGATTTCCCTGTATCTCTGATCTACAACGATTATTCCATTATGCTGAGTTACGTCTATCAACCAAAGAGTTTTTGTCCCGCCTTCTCTGAATAACATTTTGAGACTATTCCCTTTTAACTTTCGAGGATGTTTTGCGATATTCTTTATAAGTGATTTACTTCCTAATGTGATTCAAACCTAGCCAGCAAAAACTGATATCGTCTCTTTAATCAGAAATACTTTATACCCTTCAACAAAATATAAACGTTTACTGAACGGACAACAAAGTAATCATAAGCGTACTACCACTACCACTAAAGAATCTAACCTGATCTTGAAAGCTGGATGTCGATGATGATCGCTGTTTAAATTTGGTGGGATATTCTGTATTTTTTAGATGAACACCACACCGTCTGGGTAGATAGTCTGTAGGGCGATAATTGAATTTTAATAAAGTGAAGTATACACTGTATCAAATGGTATTCTGTACTTCTTTCATTCCCTTAATTATTTTTAGCAACATTAGTTTCTTAGTCTATCTGTCGTCAGTTATAACTCTCTTTCCTTTTGAGTTGAATTTCGCTGTCTGTATCTTGAATGAGATTAGTTACCATTGCATAGGAGCTTGGGATGCTATTGGTGACAAGACGATAATAACATTTTCAAAGAATTAGTGAATGGGTGACTGGAGTAGATTGTACACTATTCACTTAACAAATTGGACGGTCAACTTATATTCCACCAGCCTTGACAGACTCCTGGCACTTACATTCCATATCTTCTCATTTATTTCGCAGTCTAAGCAGCCTTCTCAGCCTCGAACATCGTGCAAACATTCCATTTTCCCGTGCTTATTTTTCTCTTCATGGAAAGAAGACACATCGGTTGACTGATTTCCAGAAGGGTTTCACCGCACCGTGTCATTGCGTCTCTCGGATTTAGTAAAGAATGAGTCTACTTTTTTATATTTTTGCCTTGCTTTGAGGTTTCTGTAGCCAGTGAGCTGATTTTATGCGGTGGGGTTGCTGTCTGTACATGCAAATTTCCCTCTGTTCCCGGGCTTCTGAAGACTCGCAAACTAGTACACTAGATGAGGTGCATCTGGGCAGAGAGCTCTTGACTGTTTTCACTACAGGACGATACTGCGTGCTGTTCTGCTCTTACAAGAGCATAGGATGAGTCTGTTTGTTTCTCTCTGAAATACGTCTTTTTGATTTATGCCACACGGGTATTTTTATAATTTACAGATGTTAACATATCCGTAAATAAAGAAATGTATGGAAGTGTAGATTTATTTTTAAGAAGAAACTTCATGTATTTTTGATTCAAAACAGGAGGTGAAATGAAGAAAACAGAATTTAATAATAACTTCAGGTATTTTCAGCCTCAGTAATGTCAGCGTCAGAATGACAATAGAGATTATCCTACTTCATTTATTTACCTAAAATTTTTTTCGAGTCTTAAATGATTACATTTTGTCTCCAATACATTATAAACTTATCGAATGAGAAAAAGTGTGAAAAATCAATTTGTACAAATACCTGATTTCAAGAACAATGAATAACTTTATCGCGAGATTTATAGATGTAAACCATAAAAAATTAAAATGTTCCATATTAGAAATTTAAAAAAAACTTTACAGTCATCATTTCAGTGGTTTCAAATTTTGACATTTTAGTGAAACACGCAAATACTTGTGATTAGCATGTGAATTAACTACTAATGGTGTTTAAATTATTGATTTATTAAGGCTTATATGGAGTGTACAACAGTGGGTGTATTTACTAATACTTTAGTGTATTTATTAGCTGTCTATAATGAAACGAAGAACAATGAAATACCATTAATTATCTAAAGAGTACGTCTGAGTTCGATAGTCATAGCAACAAATAAAAAGCATCTTCAAGGCGTCACCATTTAGCCAAGTTTCCAGAATATAATAATCTCAAATATATTGGTCATTGGAAGCCAATCTACTCGACCTGAATTTAATATTTATTGATACCCTTATATGTAGATGGTTGTAAATGGATATTCAGTGAAAATCTACCTCCAGAAACATGTTTTCTGTGAAGTTATTGACTGTACCGTCCAAAGTTTACTTGAAGAGTAGTATTTCATCTAACAAAAAGTGATATTCTATTTTCTGTTAATTTGAATAATTTTTCAGTAGTCACTGGCTTTTAACTGAATTTTTTTCACGTTTAAAAGTGCATAAGAAAACTCAAACGCATTAGTACTGTTTAAGTCAAACAAGCGTGATGCTATTCACTTTATTACAATAAAGTTTTTTTGCATAACAGTATTTGACAAAATGTAAAATACTATGTAGTATTAGTAATCAACCTTCCAACATTTATCAAATGATTTGGATAACGATAAAGCAAGTAAGCTAATTTATTTGGTCAACGTATCTGTTACTTATTGTACCTCACTTTTAAGCGCTGATATGCAGATTCGTATTTGGAAATCATTATTTTGAATTTACTGTTAAGTCTCAGTGAAGACACTTTCTCTTACTCAGGTGGCATAGGAACATATACGCATTTTTTAATCCCCTGCTGGTTATAAACAACCAAGTAGTATTTAAAGTGAGGTGTAGACGTCCTCATTAAACA